GAAGACTCTTCCCCAGAGTAGGTAATTCCACTGTGAATCTCTTCATTTTATCAGCAAAATTGAATATGAGACTACTTTTTCCCTTAGCACACAACCCTGTCTACATGTGCTGTAATAGCACCCTCTTGAATATTGATTGCCACTTCAGTGCTTGAGCCGAGACAGAAGAATGTAGATGCAAGTGGAAAATTAATGTAGATTTCCAAGACCAAAATAAGTAAAAGCTTGCAAAGCTCCTGACAAGTGCTTTTCTCTAGTTTAGGGGATGTCCCTTCTTAAAATAACGAAGCAGTTGTCCCTTCTTGAAATAATGAGCAGGCCCAGTCATCTCCCTGCAGACGTGCTCTTCAAAAATGTTTAACCCCCCAATTTCCCTGGTGTTGCAATCTAATGTATGCAAGATATGTATTTTGGATTCTCTGTTTGCTGTGTCATACAAATTTATTCCAGGGTTTCTCCTTATAAGACTCTTTGTACCTTGCTTATAGAAGAAGTTCAAGCAACTTAGTTTCTGACATAAACAAATTAATAACATTATATGCAAACTATTTTATTTCAGTTAATAGAATTATATGTGAGATATTTACTCTTGTATCCTGCAGAAAAAGGAAAAAAAGCAGAAATTTGTCAAGACAGAGGAATTAGAACAACGTTCTATATGCAATAAACATAAATTTTAAAATTTGTGTAGTCACAAAGCAGCATTGATACAGACTCATCTGTGTGTTCTGTACCTTCCAGATATATTTACTACACTGACTTCAGGTAGGCCTTCAGCTTTACTGACAACAAAAATTACAAGAAATAGATAAAACTAAACCATGAATATTTAACATTTTTTTCTTCTGAAGAGTTATTCAAATAAAGTCAAACAACCAAATCACAAGACAACTTAAAACAACTGCTTTGCTAGCACAGTTTTGCATTTAGTATTTGCAGAAAAAGATCTTAAATTTAAGCAAATGGAAACAGTGTATCAAAAAATAAGAATGGTTTAGCATAAAGAATTTTCTAGTCAGGCTAATTTTCTCTGACCATTTGCTGTTTGTCAGAGGCAAAAAAGTGTTGGGCCATCTTTTTGAGTAAGAAATTCTTCTCTTCCAACTCAGAGATCCAACTTAGTAAAAATTTTAGTAATTCTTTCTTCCAAATGACCTGGATGAGCTGAAAATTAGAAAAGAAACATGGAAATGTTTTGACTGTAGAAATTGTAAATCATTTGTTTCTCCCCTCAACGAATAAAAAAGTCTTCTCTGTTCTTTCCTGC